AGAGATATGGGCAGTTTCTTGTTACTTTTGGAGGAAGGTTACTCCCAATATATGTTAACATAAAAATTCTAACAATGTATCTAAGAAATAGCAAGTTCTCCACAGCAGTGTTAACTTATTCAATGTGAGCAGGCACCATATTACTTCATTTCCTGTGGGTTAACTTATTTAATCATCTCAACAAACCTACAGAGGAGGTATTCTTATGAAGTTCATTTAAAAAATGAGACAACAGAGTCTTAGGGAAGGCAAGTAGCTTCCTCTTTTGCAAAGTCATTTCTTTCTTTCTTTCTTTTTTTTAATGTTTTATTTATTTCTAGGAGAGAGAGAGAGAGAGAGAGAGAGAGAGACAGCGTGAGCAGGGGAGGGTCAGAGAGAGAGTGTGTTTCATTTTCTGAAACAGGCTCTAGGCTCTGAGCTGGCAGTCAGCACAGAGCCCGACGTGGGGCTTGAACCCACGAACCGCGAGATCATGACCTGAGCGAAAGTCGGACGCTTAACCGACTAAGCCACCCAGGCTCCCCACAAAGTCATTTCTAAAAGCGAAGTGTGCCAGGTGCACCTGGGTGGTCCAGTAAGTTGAGCATCCAACATCAGCTCAGGTCACGATCTCATGGTTTGTGAACTCAAGTCCTTCATTGGGCTCACTGGTGTCAGCACAGAGCCTACTTCAGATCCTCTGTTCCCCCTGTCTCTGCAACTCTCCCACCTGTGCTCTCTCTCTCAAACATAAATAAACATTAAAAAAAGATAGAAGCGAAATCTGCTTCCAGAGTTGCCCTGAGAAAAATCAAAGTTCTTTTATTTAAAATATTCTTACTATTTATTACCTGATCTTGTATACTCCTCTTGAGGTAATCAACTTTATTCCTTTGTACAATGGTGAAAAAGGAGGCAAAGGATGGTGAAAGTATTTCTGGGAAACAGTCCGTGATGGTAACACTGGCCTCTGCTTCCACAACAAGGACAAAGATCTCAGTGACTCACTGCCACAGGTGTTTCTGCATTCTTTACGTCACGGTTTGATGTCGGTCAGGCAGCTTGCCAAAGGTGCTCTTTTCTGAGGAGTGACTCAGCGATCCAGCCTACTTGTAAATCACAGCCAGGATCTGGAACATGTGGCCCCTAAGTTCATTGAGGCAGGGGAGAGAGGGTTGGTAGACGTACAGAGAGCTTTAATGAACCAGGCATGGAAATAGCCGCTACCACATGTGCCTACATCCTGTGGCCCTAACTCATCATATGACTGCAAGTGCAAAGGAGGCTGAGAAGTGAAGAGAAGCACATGAATACTGGGTGAGGGCTAATAGTTCCCATACAGTCTGTCCTTTGCTCACTGCTTCTCAACATAGGTTAATGCAATTGACCAATCCTCAAGAGAGATCAACGCAAAGTCTTATACAGTCATTGCATCAAATTAAATGTCCAGGATCTCTGGATGGCAAATGGTCCTCTCTGTCAGGTAAGGACATGGATCTACTTTGTCCAGAGACCTGTGAACTGAAAAGACCAGTTATTTGCCCTTGATGTAATATATCAAGTCAGAAGAGGACAGGTACTTGCAATCAACCATCTCATTCATGGAAGGGAAGGTGGTGACACCAGTGGCTAGCCCTTGGTAGAGATTCTGAAATTCTCCAGGCAGATGGTGTGAAAGTCCCTCACCCTTGGTTAGGCTTGATTCTGCAATCTGGGGAACGTCTTTTGTCTTTTTGATCCTGGCTCCTGATTGCTTTTGTGAGGTCTCTCCTACATTATTCCTCGGCCTCCTCTGAAGTGGATATACAAGAGACGTGATCTTCCAGAGGGCTCTATAGCCTTTGTAGGTGGCTTGCTGCAGTGTAGAGCTTGAAGTTTGTTTTTATTTGGAACATCCAGTGATATGTTGTTTGCAGGGCAAGCTCATTCATGGTTTTACTGACCATATAGTCTAGCGCTCTTGAGAACTTAGCAGGCTTCTAATATCTTCCCACCAGGTCATTCTATATACGCCAGCAGCCACAGCCTGGTTCTTTCTAGATATACTTCTCAAATTATTTTCCTGCCTTTCCCGCTCTCTCCCCTCCTCTTAATGAGGCTTGAAAAGACAGAGATGCAACTTCAGTGAGATTTGTGCCCTAAGTTACTGCATCCAACTCACAGTTTTTTTTCCTGGATTTTTATTACTGAAATCCTTTTACTTTTCCCCCATAAAAGGAAACCTTCTCTTAATGTTTGAGACCTAGAAACAGATGGTTTTTCCAACAATGTAAGATCCTGAATTGGTGGACTTTATTTAAGTTTATTTTCACTTTAAGACTAGTCAGTTCTTGGTGTGTCTCATGGCTCAGTCAGTTAAGCATCTGACTCTTGATTTCAGTTCAGGTCATGATCTCACATTTCCTGTCTCTCTGCCCCTTCTCCCACTCATGTGTGTTCTCTCTCTCTCATTCTCTCTCTCTCTCTCAAAAATTAATTAAGTACTCAATTGAAAAAAGAAAACCAGTCAGTTCTTTCCTGAGTTCACCTCTTTCTTGCAATACCCTAACAAGTGCAGAGAAAAATAGCCAATGCATTATGGATGCATATTTTTAAAATACTCTCCTTAGAGCTACAATTTCAGCAGACTGGGCCTGACAGCTCTCGCACTTTGTATCAAGATTCTACATCATTTCAACCTGAGATAGCTTCCTCACTGCCTGCTGCCAAATGTCTAGTCAATGCTGCACATTTTAGGTTTTTACTGGCAATCCATGATCATGGTACTGATTCCTCCATTAATCAGGGTTCAGCTAAGCTCCCAACTTCAGTGACTTAACCTGATGAAAGATTATTTCTTCTGCAAGTCACTGAACAGGGTAGGCCAAGTGGCTCTCCTCCAATGGCTTAAGGATGTGAGCTGTCTCTATCTGAAAGCTGAGGTTTTTGGAGCACATTGCCTCCAAGGTCAGCACAGCAGAGGAAGAGAGCCCTAAAGTATGAGCTGTTTATAGGGCAGTGGCTTACATCATTTTGGTCCTCACCCTCTTGGTTAGAATCCACTCACATCACCCCTCAATAAACACACTATAGGCTGGAAAATGTAGAAGAGCACATGAATATGTGGTGGACATTTACAACTTCTGCTATTTCCAGGCTGGTGCATGCCCAATAGCCAAGGCTAAGAGACGGGAACGTTTGGACTCCTTATGTCTAAGCCAGAGGCATTGGTCAACCCCTGAGACTGCATTGATCTGAAAGAGGACATCAGGAAAACTCAAAGTATACCCATCACTCTTCTGAAGACAGGGCTGGGAACCAGTTAAGAAGATGGAAAGGGCAGCTTCCCCACCCAACACTCTATTAGAATCTGTGGTGATGGTACCTGGAAATCTGCTTTTTTATTAATGTCTAAGAGATATTGAGGACAACATGAGGGCTATTGATCTGTTGTAAATATTCATGGATGGGGGCTCAGTCAGAAAAAATAACTTGCTCTAATTTATCAGGCATATTCGTGGTATAGCCAGTCTGATTTTTGAATCCCATTAAACTCCATGTCCAATTATGTATCAGCTTCTGTTCCTGGTTGTGGCTTGGAATTTCTCTTTAAGACTCTGTGTCCAGAGAGGCCCAAGGAGAACAAATGAGTTCAGAATTCCTTGAAAATGAAAAAATAAGCTTGACAAAGAGAGTGTGATCAGATTCTTTTTGGGCTTGAGCACACGGAATGCATGTCTCCTTGCCTGTCCGCTACTTGACACTCTGCTTGTCTCTGGCTGTACCACACAGCTTGCTGTGTCTCACTGCAGGAGAGGATCTATTTCCCTCCTGTCCCTGGTTGGCTTCCTGTCATTCCCCACTGGCATTTGAGATTATGCTCCTTATTGACATTTGAGATGAAGACTATTGGGTTGGAGGAGGGGCAGAAAGGGCTGTTGGACCTTGGCCTGAGCATCAATGATGGCAGCAAGTAGTCACCAGTAAATTGTCTGCTTGCTAACAAAGTGTCTGACTTCTCCTGACACCTTGTGAGTTCTATTGCAATTTGGATGCAACCCTCCTTCTCCAAGAAGCTCAGTTTGAAGTTATCAAAGGTTTGTCAGTATGCTGCCTTGTGTACAGGATCCTCACCCTCCTTGGTCTTCTTCAACCTCTAGAGATAGAAATCTGTAAGACATGTGGTTCCCAGGTGTGGAAGGGAACTTCTGAGGTCATCTGTTGACCCTCTCCCTGGTTTCTTAATGCAGGAGATACTTGTATTATTCTGGATTCAAAGGTTGATTAGAAGAAAGAAAAACAGCCAGCCACAAGGTTTATGCAACAGCTGAGAGGAAAGACCACTGGGTAGGGCATGGGATAGTGAGGGAAAAAATGACTTTGGAAAGGAAGAAGGTATTTGAACAAATGACTGAAGCTGATGTCAGATCTGGAGCCATGGAGCTGGCTAACCCTGGCCCCAGCCAAGCTGACTTTCCTCAACATGCAGGTGAGCCCTGCTTGGGTGCAAGCCCAGAGTTTATCATATACACATTCCTACAGAACACAAACCCCACATGAAACCAGCCCTCCTTTCTCTGGTACTCCCACCAGCTTTATCTTATCCTTTAAAAAGACATCAAAGTCAAGTTTTATTCAAAAACATACTTTATGTGAAAATTCAAGAACTGTACATATAGAAATATTCAGTTCTATAATAATATTATGTTTCATCGGATATCCCCCTCCTAAAAGTTATACACACACACACACACACACACACACATATATTCATTGATTCATGCAAAGATGCTCACAACACTACAGTGAGGTAGAGAGGAATGAGCATCTTGCAGTTTTGAAGGGGCTGAAGTGAAGTGTGCCCAAGTGTTCGCATTTAAAACACATCCAATTCCAGAGCACATTAAATTAAAATATTAACAACTTAGAAGACATAATACATTACTTAAGAAAAACTTTGATTCACATTATCACACAAATCTCATATTCCTTAGGATTGTAATAGAATAATTTCGGAACACATGTTGGAAAGGATAGGACATATAAATTGTTTCCTGAGTACTGGCTTGCCATCATTGTAGGCATGAGTGTTTATAGCTTTGAGGTTTGGGTTTTCTTGTCCAGGTACTCCATGAAATCCTGGACCCACTTCTGCTTGGGGTCAAGACATAGCTCCTTGGCTCGTTTGGTCTTGAAGCTGTGGGTAGAGAAGGCATTTAGATGGAACATCTTGAAAATTCAGCTTGGGAGTGTAACCTACTCTATGGGAAACTTGCCTGGCCCATTAGCCTAGGATGATGCAGAAGGAAGGAATGGACCTCAGGAGAAGCAACTGTTTTTGCTGGCCCATGGGAAGCCATCTTGGCTCCTAGATGAAAGAACTGACATCTGAACCAATGTCTGGACCAGAAGCTGGGAATGGGAAGTCGCTTTATTTTCTTGAATTCACTTTTCCCATTTAAAAAAATTATGGGATTGGATTAGAGGTAGTCTAAGCATCTGAGGGCTAAATTCCAACTCAGTCTTATCATATAACCCAATCCACTGTCTGGGAGCAGAACTCAACTTCAAGGGATGAGTGTGGGTAGTCATGGCCTCACTCACATCACAGCTTCCTGGGGACAATTGCTGCTGGTGATTCTTCTGTAGCTCTTCAGCTTCTGGATAGGGATCTTCTTATCAGTAAATCCATAACAGCAGATGATTGAGATATTAATCCCATCTGTTGAAAGAACAACATCAAAGGCTATTGAGGGTGTATGCTGGGACTTTCTATTTAAAAAGTAGGGAACAGTAAGGAGGAGGAATCAAAAGAAAGGGAAGCCACCCACCCTAATCCCTGTGTCTCTGTCCTGAAACTCTCTCTTGCATGGATTATAAAATGGAAGGGCACCACTGCTCATTGAGAGAGGAAAAAGAACTGGTGACAAATCTGGATATTACTAGGAGAGGCTCATAGAATAGTCCAATTCCTCAGGGCAGGGGGACTCCAGCTACAGGTCCGCCTCTATGCCCTGAGCAATCTATGCCTAGTTGTCAGTTTCTCTGATACCTGCTGTCTCTGCAGAGCCCTGTCTCTGGATGCTGGACTAAATGAAGCACAGACCAGTTTCTGGGTTTCCTCCTTTCCCCTCCACCATATGTGGAGATACCCTGCACACTCTCCACCAGAGGCCCCTTCTTTTTGATGATCCAAGTCCCCAAACCTAGTTGCAAGGAGCCAGGGCAGTAAGTACACTGAGGGTGTGATTGTAGAGCTGGAGTTCTGGGAGGACTGGATTTGGGGTCCATGGATGGAATTCCTGTCCAGGCTCTACCCTGGAGCAGCCATGTGATCAGGCTCACTCCTTGTTCTTCTCTGACTTTCCCAGTCATGAGAAACCAGAGATGGGGTGATGGGGTTCAGAGGGAAGGAGAGAGGGCTTACTGGGCAGGGCAAGTGCCTGGATGCTGAAGGTGGCAGCTGTAAGCAGCAGGCACAGAAGCGCTGCAGAGACCTTCATGTCTGCAGAGAGCTTGGGCGTTGAGAGCTGGAGCTTTCTGGGCTGGTCTCAGCTTCTCTGCTCCTCTGGTTGTTCTGCATGCCTTTTATAGGGAGCAGACAGGAATAAGAAGAAAGTGAGTGGGTGACAGGCTTTTGTTCTTCTGAATGAATCATAGGATGGAATAGCAAATCTGCTGAGCCATTGCCCTCCCCTGAGGAAGATACTAGGAAATAAAAAAGTGTGATTGATGCTGGCCTGCCTTACATTCAAACTCAGGCGTAGTAAGTGAGGTGCTGGCTATGTCCAGGCAATGTGTGATCTATGCCTGTTACTAAGGGTTCTGCTTTTTTTTAATGAAACACTTTATGTAGAAAAAGAAGGGAAGTAGGGTTACTAAATCAAAGAAATGAAAGGGATTTCCCCAATTTTCCTTTCAGACAGCATCTCCAGGACCCCAGTTTCCAGAGAAAGGCAGTGAAACTTTGGTTGGGCTTTAAAATTGACTAAAAAGAAATCCTTTACTGCTTTAAATCCTTGGGGATTTTCTAAAACCCAAAGAAGAGGGGTACATGGGTGGCTCAGTCAGTTAAGCACCCAACTTCGGCTCAGGTTGGTACTGCTGGTACTCTGTGTGTATCTCTCTGTCTTTCAAAAATAAATAAACATTAAAAATAATAACACAAAAATAAATAAAACAAACCCAAAGAAGAATGCAATAATAGAATGTTAGCAAAAAAGTAGACTTCTGTATTTTTAGAATAATACCTAAAATGGTATATCTAGCAATCAACTGCTATGTAATAACCCATCTGAGAACAGTGATTTAAAGCAAGAACAACAATTGATTTTGCTTTTGGATATGGGACTTGACTGGCCTCAGCCAGGCATCTCTTGCTGCAAAGGTTTTTACATCTTTGCAGTTGGATGATGGCTGAGATTGGGGTCATCTCAAGGGTTTAAACTCAGTGTCAGGTGTCTGAGCTGGGAAGTCTTAAACAACTGCGGATTGGAGTTCTGGAAGCTTCTGGGCCCCCATTCCCATCTTTCCAGTAGTGCCTCCACATAGCTGGATATGGATATTTTACATGATCATTTAAGGCTCCCAGGTACAATATTAGGGAACATAGATCACATCTCTTAATTTGAGGAGCATAAAAAATTTTGCAGACATGTGTTTTTTTTTTTAATTTTTAATGTTTTTTTTTTTTAATTTTTGAGAGAGAGACAGATCATGAACAGGGGAGAGGCAGAGAGAGAGAGTGAGGGGACACAGAATTGGAATCAGGCTCCAGGCTCTGAGCCACCAGCACAGAGCCCAATTCAGAGCTGGAACTCACAAGCCTTTGAGCTATGAGATCATAACCTGAGCCAAAGTTGGCTGCTTAACTGACTGAGCCACCCAGGTGCTCCTGCAGACATGTTTTTAAACCACTATCTGTTTCATAGACTATCCAAACTACAAAGCACTTAATAAGATCATGGAATGCTGTAGTTTTTAAAAAATATCTGGTTATCTAGGAAAATATTATTACAAGTAAAGGAATAGAAGAGATGAGATGCCTGAGTGGCTCAGTCATTTGAGCACCTGACTTTTGGTTTTGGCTTAGGTCATAATCCCAGCATTGTGAGACTGAACCCCATGTCAGGCTCTGTGTTGAGTGTGGATCATACTTAAGATTCTCTCTCTCTCTCTCTCTCTCTCTCTCTCTTCTGCTCCTCTCCCCTATTCATGCTCTCTCTTTCTCTTAAAAAATAGAGAGGAAGCCAAACTTTTTAATAAAATCAAAGTGGACTTACTCAGTTGGACGCTGAGACAGGAGTCTTCACATCCCCTCCTCCCATACATATCTCAAGGGTCCAAAACATAGATTTTGAAAACCAGCAGTCTGTTTGCTGTCTCAACCTGCCCCTGTTTATATATACATACTACAAGTTCATCAAACAATCGCTGATGATATTAATGAAAAAAGGGCTCGATGAGAGGTCCTTAGCTTTTCCTATCTTTTCTATTGCTATTCAGTCTTTATTTAATTTACTTCTGCTCTGATATTCCTTATTTCCTCCCTTCTACTAACTTTGGGCTGAGTGTGCCCTTTTTCTGGTCTCTTGAGGTATAAAATTAGGTTTTTTATTTGACAGCTTTCTTTTTTCTTTATGTTAGCACTTATTGCTACAAGCATTCATCTTAGAATTGCTTTTGATGTGTTGCATAAGTTTTGGCTGGTTGTGTTTCCTTTTTTGTTACTTTCAAGATATTTAAAAAAAATTTTTAATGTTTTATTTATTTCTAGGAGAGAGAGAGAGACAGCGTGAGCAGGGGAGGTTCAGAGAGAGAGGGAGTGACAGACTCTGAAACAGGCTCCAGGCTCTGAGCTAGCTGACAGCACAGAGCCCGACGCAGGTCTCGAACCCACGAACCGCGAGATCATGACCTAAGCGAAAGTCGGACGCTTAACCGACTAAGCCACCCAGGTGCCCCACTTTCAAGGTATTTTTTAGCCTTTGTTTTCTTCTTTGACCCATTGGTTGTTTAGGGGTGTACTGTTTAATTCTTACATATTCGCAAATTTTCCAGTTTTCCTCTTGTTATTGATATATAGTTTCGTAACATTGTGTTAAGAAAAGATACTTGGCATGAATTCAATCTTTTTAAAGTTTGTCAAGACTTGCTTTATTATCTATCATGTGACCCATCTTGGAGAATGTTTCATGTGTGATTGAGGAGAATGTATATTCTGCATACATTCCATCTGATTGAATGGAATGTACTATATATGTCTGTAAGGCACATTTGATTTAAAGTAGTTCAGGTCCAACATGTCCTTACTGATTTTTTGTTTGGTTGATCTATCCATTGGTGATGGGGGTATAAAAGTCCCCTACTATTATTGTATTGTGGTCTATTTTTCCCCTTTGATCTGTTAGTATTTGCTTAATATGTTTAGTTTCTCCAATGTTGGGTATAGTTATATTTATGATTGTTATATCCTCTTGATGAATTGACCCCTTTTTAATTATGTAATGACCCTCTTTGTCTCTTACAGTTTTTGGCTTAGAGTTTGTTTGTTTGTTTGTTTGTTTGTTTGTTTTGCTGTAAGTACAGCTATTCCTGTTCTCTTTTGGAATATCTTTTCCATCCGTTCACTTTGAGCCTATGTGTGTTATTAAAGTCAAAGTGGGTCTCCTGTAGGAAGCATATAGCTGGGTTTTATTTATCATTTTTAAGTCTATTCAGCCACTTTATGCCTTTTCTGGAAAATTTAATCCATTCGCATTTTGGTGAATATTGATAGGTAAGGACTTGATAATGCCATCTTACTTTTTTCCATTTTGTAGTTCCCTTGTTCCTTTCGCCCTATCTTGTTCTCTTCATTTGTGAATTGGTGATTTTTCATAGAGGTATTCTTTGATTCTTTTCTCTTTATTTTTCTGTTATTTACCATAGATTTTTGCCTTGAAACTATCATGAGGCTCACATAATACATCTAATAGATACAACAGTCTATTTTAAGCCTGATTGTTTGAATTTGCAGACAAAACCTTTACCTTCATATCCCTCCTTTTATGTTTGTTATGCTACAACATAACCTCTTTTTACATTGTGTAACTTTTAACAGATTATTGTAGCTATAGTTATTTTTAGTATTTTGTCCTTTAGCCTTTATAGTAAAGTGGTTAATACAGCGTAATATTACAGTATTGGAGTATTCTGAATTTGACTATATAATTACCTTTACTAGTGTGATGTATATGTTTTCATGTTACTAATTAGTATCCTTTCATTTCAGCTTGAAAAAACCTTTTCAGCATTTCTTATAAGGTAGGTCTAGTGGTAATGAAGACTCTCAGCTTTTTTTTTTTTTTTTTTTGGGGTCTGGGAAAGTCTTCATATTTTCTTCATTTCTGAAGAACAACTTTGCCAGGAAGAGTATTTTGGTTGACAGTTTTCATCTTTCAGCGGTTTGATTACATTATCCCACTCTCTCTTGACTATGAAGTTTCTGCTGAGAAATCCTCTGATCACCTTATGGGAGTTCCTTTGTGAGTTACAAGCTGCTTTTCTCTTTCTGCTTTTAAGATTCTCTTTTTGTCTTTTTTTTTTTTTTTGACAGTTTTATTACAATATGTCTTTGGAGAAGAGTTTTTAAAGTTGAGTTTGTTTGGGGACCTATGAACTTTATGAATTTGGATATTGAAATCTCTCCCAGATTGAGGAATTTCTCAGATATTACTTCTTTAAAGACACTTTCTGGCCTCTTCTCCCTCTCTGTCTTTCTGGGACTCCAATAATTCACAGATCTTTTTCTTTTAATTACATCCCATAGATCACATAGGTTTTCTTCAGTCTTCTTCATTCTTTTTTGTTCTTGTTGCTCTCTGACTAGATAATTTCTAAGGTCTTCTCCACAAATAGGTCCATTCTGCTGTCGATGACCTATTTGTGTCATCAACACAATTTGTATTTTCCATTTCATTTATTGTACCTTCAGCTCCAGAACTTCTTCTTTTTAACGATTTTTAGCCCTTTATTAAACTCCCTATAGTTGAAGTTTTGTTTTCCTGATTTTGTTGAAAGGACTTTGTCTGTTTTCTTGTAGCTCAACGAGTTTCCTTAAAATGGCTATTTTAAATTCTTTTTCAGGTAATTCATAGATCTTCACCCCTTTGGGGTAAGTTACTGGAATGTTATGAACCTTTGGTGATGTCATGTTTCCTTGATTTTTCGTATTCCTCGAGGTTTTGTTTCTTTGAATTTGAAGTAGAAGTAGCAGTCACCTCCTCCAGGTTTTTTTTTAAGTTTATTTATTTCTGAGAGAGACAGAGACAACACAAGTGGGGGAGATGCAGAGAGAGAATCCCAAGCAGTCTCCACACTGTTAGCATGGAGTCCAGCAAAGAGCTTGAACTCACAAAGCTGTGAAATCATGACCTAAGCCAAAACCAAGAGTTGGATGCTTAACAGACTAGAGCCACTCTGGTGCCCCTCTCCTCTAGTCATTACTGACTGGCTTTGGGAGATAACTTTCTTCCATCAGCCCTGTTATGGATTTTGAGGCTTTCTCAGAACTTCTATAGATATGTCTGTTCCATCCTTCTTGCTCCCTTTTGTGACAGAATTCTTGAGCGTGTGTGCCTTCTCTCAATCCAGCAACACACCGAACTGAATGCTGGCAGTCTGTCTTGCTTCCTCAATGACACAACTAAAGCTTACATTTCTGGTCTCTCCCTGGATCACAGCTGCAGGCGACCACTAGCTGTCTGTCAAAGCTTGCTCTTGCCCTTCTCAGGAGCACTCACAGGGAAACAGCTGCAGGTTGGGGGGCGGGTTGTTTTGGTGAATCTCATGGAGTGCTGAGGGTGCCCTTGGGCTATTTAAAGAGATCTGCCAGTGGGATGTCTCCAATGGCTTGTGGACAGGCTTCTTGATGGAGTCTGTGGTGCAGTAAGTAGGATCCATGCCCTTTGAATGCCTTCAAAAAGTCTTATCTGCTGCTCTGTCAGGCTCTTTTTGCCCCCTCAGTCATGTAGCTCAATGAGTTAATACTTTGGATGAGGTAGGAAACAAATGGATCTCTTTGGCAGCTTCCACCTAGCTGGAGAACTGAAGAAGCTCACCCCAAATGCTCTCACTTCCCCCACAGGAGAAATCAAAGGCTGAGAGGGTCTCTCTTGGCACTGGTCTGTGCCACTTAGTGGAAGGAGTGATGCGGGTAATGTCAAACTTGTTCCTCTTACCCTCTCCAATGCATCCAAGCTTGATTTATTTTCCTCCAACACCATGCTGGAACTTCTCCACTAAAAACCTGGGTTTCAATAGATGCTCTCCTATCTGTAGGCGACTCCAAGACAGTGTTCTCCAGGGACTCCCAGTACACAGCCAAGAGAGGCCCCTGCAGACTCCACAGACTCTTTATGCTTTTGACTTGATGAATGGGTAGGTGACTCCTCCCTTGGCATATGATGTTGGATCACACGGTCCCCCAAATGCAATTTTGTCCATGCATGGGTGCAAAATTACTATTGTTAAGGGGGAGATATGAGCAAGGGTCATCTTTTTCAGCCATCTTACTGACTTTGGTCCTCTTTCCATTACTGTTTTCTTTTGTGATTACATAAATAGTACTATTTTATTGTATACCATTTTATTCCTTTTTTCTTTTATTATGTATATTTTAGTTATTTTTTTAGTGGCTGCTCTGACAAGTACCATTATCATGTATAACAACATGGTTCACGTTAATGCCATCTTTATTTCAATAGTATGAAAACTTTCATCCCTTGTAGCTCCAACCCTCCTCCACTGTAAAGCTATGTTGAATAGAGAAAGGGGCCATCAGCTAAGGAAAGCAGGTGGCTTCTAAAAGTTAGAAAAAGCAAGAAAACAGATTCTCCCCTAAAGCTTCCAAAAGGAATGCAGCCTAACTCACTCATTTTAAATTTCTAGTCTCCAGAACTATAAGGTAATATATTTGTGTTGTTTTAAGCCATTAAGTTAATGATAAATTTTTATAGTAACAATAAGAAACTAAAAGAGATTTTGATATGTGTAAATTGGGTCCTACTATAATAAATACTTTAAAAATGTAGAAGTGGCTTTGGAATTAGGCAATGAGTATAGGCTGGAAGAATTTTAAGCATGATAGAAAAAGCCTAGATTTCCTGGAACAGACTGTTGGCAGCAACAGGAAATGAATACACCACACTTGGCATTCCCTCCTGAGCCAAGGCCTATTGCCAGTGCTTCATGCTCACAGTTTTATTATGCAAGAAGCAAGGACTCCCTTGCTTAGCTAGAAAAAAAAAAAAAAGGATTCAAGATTTCCTGAAAATGAATAGATGTGGCTTGGAAAGGGAATGTGAGTAGATTACTTTTGGGCTAGAGCATATGGATTGCCCCTTTCTTGGCCTCCTCTCCTTCCAGACCCTCCATCTCAAATCTACCTTGTTTTAGAAGGTCTGACACTCCCTAAACTGTATGAGGATGTCCCATTTGCTTGGATTCTCCATTCCCTTTTGCCCCTTGGCCTCAACTGCAGCTAAGGATTTAGTTCTGCTTGGCAATCAAGGATGCAGATTGGAGGAGTGGAGGAGAGGAAGGGAGGGCTATTGGACCTGGCATATGGGCTAGAGAGTTCCATAAAAAGCAGCCAATAAATTGTTTCCTGACAGATGTATCAAGGTACTTTAGAGAGCTTGGAGCTTTGATGTGTTACTTGGAGCTTTGATGGAATCCCTCAGCTTGAACAAGGGATCCCACACTGTCCTGGGAATATGGAAGCAGAATCCTCTTTCTTCATCTCTAGGTCCAACTGTTAAAGATAGAAGCTTTCCAAGACATACACTCCCAGGTCCTAGGTTCTGCCAAGTTCCTATGTGTAGCACATTATCATCCCTATTTTACTGGTGGAAACTCAGAATACCCAATCTTCCCTGAATGACAGAGTAAGTCAATGCCAGTACTAGGATTAAAACTCGAGTATCCCTGCCAGCCAGGGTTTTCCTCAGCAGCTGAAGGCATTGCCTGGTCTAGCTTGATGCAGTAGCAATCTCCCCACCAGACTGGACTGGTGAATCTGCAAATTCACCATGTAGAATTTATTTATGGAAGGGTTTTCTTTAGTGGAAGGGATGCCTGTGCTTAGATGGGTAAATACCTCACAAGTAGGTCTAATACCATGCACAGAAGCACAGACCTTAGAGAAAAGAGACATTCAGGAAAAAGAGATTCATCCATATAAATGGATGATCTCATGCTTCTTGGATTGAAACGAGGGATAGTGGTGGACAGTAGTACATCCTGATTTCAGGTAAACTGTCTTCTTAGAATGTAGGCTATAGAAGGAGCTTCTGAGTCTTAGGTCACAGGTCCTTCTATTCCACCTACAAATAGCATTTCATTCTACCTAGCTCCTTCTCCAAAGCCGTTTCTTGGGTGCCATATCCAGGCACTCATCATCTCTTTCCTGGATCATGTCTGTAGCCTTTCCTTTGTTCATATTTCTCCAAGCTTGTATGAAACCAAAAAGTTACATTTACTGAAACTCATCTCTGAATCTTCGGACATGGCATGTCCTTCCTCATTGGCTCAAACATTTTCAACATCTCCTTTTAACCTATGAAGTTGAGTACTGATTTACCATCCTCACATTCAAAACCCTTTCCCAACTTTCCTTTTTTTTTTTTTTTAACATTTATTCATTTTTGAGAGAGAGAGTGGGGACAGAGAAGGAGACACAAAATCCAAAGCAGGTTCCAGGCTCCACACTGTCCACAGAGCCCGACGTGGGGCTCGAACTCACGAGTGGTGATCTGACCTGAGCCAAAGTCAGATGCCTAACCGACTGAGCCACCCAGGCAGCCCAGACAACTTTTGTTTCTAAACTTCCTCATCACTTAACACAGACATGGACCCCAACTCCCACCTGATTGGTTTTCACCCTCTTTTATGTACACACCATCATCATTTCTACCTCTAGGTATTTGGTTCCACTCTTCTTTCTCCTTTTCTAAATGATACTGTAATTTTTTAAAAATATTTTTATTTATTTCTAGGAGAGAGAGAAAGAGACAGTGTGAGCAGGGGAGGGTCAGAGAGAGAGGTAGATACAGACTCTGAAATAGGCTCCAGGCTCTGAGCTGGCAGTCAGCACAGAGCCCGACGCGGGGCTCGAATCCACAAACCGCGAGATCATGACCTAAGCGAAAGTCGGACGCTTAACAGACTAAGCCACCCAGGCGCCCCAAAATGATACTGTAATTTTTATAGAAAAAATATCATGTATTCATCAAGGATAAGTTCAAGTCATATCTTCTTCATGGAATCTTAATATGACCATCTTATCAACAGTCATTCAGTTTCTCCTTCATTTCCCAAAGTCAGCAGTGTCTGTATCATCCCAAGTTGGAAGATTACTTGGAAGGGGAGAGATAAGGGACAAGTATCCCAGTTAGGAGGCAGTAGTAGTAGATTATGGGAGAGATTGAAGGCAGGGGTCAAGGGCTGTGAGAAAGGAGATAGAGGTGTTGCTAAACAGGTGGTAAGGGTGATTAAGATCTGGACAGATGGTCTTGGGGACTAGAGTGGTAGGGCTGAAATGCCTGGTTGGGTCCTGACTTAAGGATTCTTCTATAGGCACTCAGATTAGCCTACCCAATCCACATGGCCACTCCTCCCAAAAGAATCCCACCCTCTGCAACCATGCTCCTCCCTCATCACCAAGACTACACTCAGCTTTTCAATTTCCTTCAAGAAAACACCAAAAGTCAGTTTTGTACAAAAATATATATATATTGATCAGTAGTAATATAATATACATCTTCACAATAACATTTTTAGCAACCCTTTAGAATTTAAAGCACAGTCTTTGCATTAATGGTCCTCCAAGGACCCTCACACCATCCCAGGGGTGGAACTGGGGCCCCCTAAGGGAAAGCAATTTGTCCAAGTCTCCATATCTAAGATAAAAACCAAACTAGTATCCATGGAAGATCAATTTTAAACATCAATAACTTAAATAAGATTAACAGCACTTAAGGCATTGTGTGTGTATCAATAAACAAAGTTCATACTCTTTGAAATTATAATAAAATAATATCAGAGGGCATTTAGGGGAACGCTAGAAGAAAATAAATTAATTTCAGATTCTTCAGTTTCAGAGTGAGAAGTCAAGGCTTTGCAGTTTGGGTTTTCTTGTCCAGATGTGCCATGGAATCCTTGACCCACTTCTGGTTTGGGTCAGCACAGAACTCCTTGTTTACGATGGTCTTGAAGCTGTAAGGGAAAGATAACAAAGTTACATGGAGTTCCACTGAGATCTCAGCCTAGGGTGACAGCCCATTCTGCCCAAAGAAGCTACCATGGGAACAAGAAGAGGAAGGCAGGTAGAAAGAGGACACCAGGGCATCCTGACTTTCCACTAAGGAAATTGGGAGGGTCTGCATAAGCACTCAGATGGAGAGTGATATTGGGAGTCACTTTCTCCCTTGTGGCCTCCCTTTTCCCATTGGGCACCTTTGGGTATAAGAATAGATGACATAACTCTCTAGGTTTATAAGGCTTTTCCCTTTTACCCCAAAGAAGAATTGGACCAGGGAGTGCTGGTGCGCTCAACTTACATCACTGCTTCTTTAGGACACTTGCTGCTGGTGACTCTTTTATAGCTCACCAGCTTCTGCATCGAGATCTTCTTATTGGTGAATGTATAGCAGCAGGTGACTGGAGAATTAATTGCATCTGGAAATAAGACCGCAAAGATAAAATATGTTAGGATGGGCTAGATTCTTCTGATCTTAATCATAGCAAAAAAGAGTAGTAAGGACCAGGCAAAGGGAAGTCAGGAGTAGAGGTAGAACTCATAAATCCCATTATTTCTTTCTATGCTTCAGTGCTAGAATGTCATACTGACTCAGTTTCCTCTGCTTTATAATGGATATATAGCATTGATAATGAGCAGTGGGAAGGAGGAGCTGTTAAAACTAGATAATTCCTGGGAGTATCATTAATTACTAATTCTGGGAGTAGTGAATAATCCAAATTATTGGGGTTGGAGAAGATCAGTTCAGGTAACCTAGCTATGGGTCCCTCTCTAGGCTCTAAGTTGTGAGTTTCTCTGATACTTGCTGCCTCTGGATGTTGGACTGAATAAAGTACAGTCTAGATTCTGGGTCTCCTCCTTACCCCACCACCATATCTGAAAATAACCTGCACAGCTTCCACCAGAGGACCCCTGTATTTGATCACCCTAGTCCCCAAACCCTGCTGCAAGAAGCCAGGGCATTAACTACATGGAAGGCATAATCATAGAGTTGAAGTCCTGGAAGGACTGGATTTGGGGTCCATGGCTGGAATTCCTGTCCAGGCTCTACCCAGGAGCAGCTGAGTGGTCAGCTTCACTCCTTGTCCTTCTCTGATTCTCCTGATCATGAGAGAAGATGGGGTGATGGGCTTCAGAGGGAAGGAGAGAGGGCCTTACCAGGCTGGGCAAGCGTCTGGATGCTGAAGGTGGCAGCTGTGAGCAGCAGGCACAGAAGCGCTGCGGAGACTTTCATGTCTGAGGGGAGCTTGGGTGTGAGAGCTGGAGCTTTCTGGGCTGGTCTCAGCTTCTCTGCTCCTCTGGTTCCTCTGGCGGCTCTGCCTGCTTTTTATTGAAAGTAGAGGGTGGAGCTAGGGGAGAAAGCTTGGCTCACGGCACACCACTCTCAATGAATGACGAAGTGGTCATAAATGTGCTGAGCAAGTGTAGCGCCCTGGGAGGTTTCCAGGAAGTAGGAGGGAAGCAGTGAGTCTGGACTGGACAATTTTTCCATTTGCTGCTAAGACCAAAAGAAGTGCAGGGAGTGGGGTGGGGTACAGTTATGTCCAGAGCGACCACAGATGTGAACACAACAGGGTATTTTTGGAATTCCACTTTCTCTGAAGTGAAAATTCTGTGGTAGAAGAGGAAGCAAGGAAACAGAGATCACAAGAGATGACAGCATCTCGTACTCCCCTCTAGCCAACCTTTAGGCCATAGCCCATGGGATTTTCAAGCCAGGAAGGGGTCCCCAGGTCTTGCTGGGCTCCCCAGCAGTGTACTAAACCCATTCACTTCTTAAAATCCAGGATGGTGGCACAGGTGAAGCCTTGCCAAACTAGAGGATTTTGTAACCATAGAATTGAATTCTAAGAATCATTGGGTTTAAGACTTGGACGGTGCTGTAGAGATAATGTAGTGCTACAAAGAAATTTCCATGCCATACTCATACAGTGTGCCAGGAATAGTCTAAGCCCTTTACAAGTGCTGTCTTTCAATTCTCCAACTCCATCCAGGAGGTGTTGTTAATTCCCATTGTATAGATCAGACAACTGAGGCACAGATGGGTTAAGTAATCTACCATGGTTCCCAGCATAGAACCCAGTGTCTGTGCATCACCACTGTGATACATCCTCCAACTGGCTGCCTGGTAGTATAGCTGGGTGCCCTCTGTCCTCCACCTCTGCCAAAGTATCAGGCATCCAAAGGGGAATGGAGAGACATTCCCGGTGGCTAAGTCACTGTGGATTTGGAGTCTGTGGTTAGTTAGTACAGCAGACAGGCTGCAGTAGGGCAACAAGTGCATCCCCTGCTGTGATGACCATTATTCCAGGTCCTTTCTGGATTCCCAGGAAAAGCAAGTGAGCAGATGGACAGTATTACAGGATTCAAATGCCTGTGTTAGTGCCACAGCTCTGCCTTTTAAAATTTTTTTTTATTTAATGTTTTTTATTTATTTCTTAGAGAGAGAGAGAGAGACAGTGTGAGCAGGGGAGGACCAGAAAGAGAGGGAGATACAGAATCTGAAACAGGCTCCTGGCTCTGAGCTAGCTGTCAGCACAGAGCCCGACATGGGACTTGAACCCATGAACCCTGAGATCATGATCTGAGCCAAAGTTGGACACTCAACCAACTGAGCCACCCAGGCACCCCCAAAGCTCTACCTTAAATGTCCTCAGAAACCCCAGAATCACAGTCATAAAACCTTAAAGACTTTCACATTGATCCCTTTATTTTACAAATATGATAAGATTCCTTGAGGCATGTTAGTGACTGAGCAGAGCCTAGAATTCAGGTCTCTGCTGTCTTATTCCACTGCTTCCAAGAATGTTTTCCTCTTATTAATGGAAACCCTTCCCTATTCTCTCAGAGTATACTTTGCCAGGGATTGGGAAGATTGCATCCCATTTGCCTGTGGAATCCACCCATTCTTAGGGTTCTGTCCAGGTTAACAGGTTTAAGGATGTTGAGATCCTGGTTGAGCCATTTCATGGTCAGTCCTAGGACCCTGGGCCAAAAAAATGGGAGAGATGGTATACTTCCACATCTTCTCTTTTATGTGAGGAAACCATATTCCAGATGGGGAGGTCAACTGACTCATGGTACACTGTATTTAAATGGACTTCTGAGTATCTGAAGCTAAATCTCTACTACCAGGAAGGATCATCAGTTTTGGAAAGTAACTTGGCCTCTGCAAGTGTGAGACAATAAACAGATCCAAGATGAAAGGGTGGGAATCAGAGGAGAAAGTCTCTTGACAGTTATCTCCCTCCCATGGCTGCTGTCAAGCAGAGATGCTCTCCTAGACTGGAAGGTCCGTCATGGAGGAGGAGAAACAATTGGAAATTCCCACTCTGAGGCAGCTTTGGAAGTTCCCGGATCCCATGGAAAATAATGAGTTTGGCTGGAGCCTGCATTCCAGATGCTGGGCCTAGAGCCAGGGCCATGTCCTGTGGGGCTGTGCTGGGAATGTTCCAGCACAAGTCCTGGATTGGGCCCCTGCTTATGAGTATACAAGGGAAAGGCCCAGAGTAGAACACTATGGGTAAGCAGGGTCAAGGTTTTGCAGCTCCCTGGAATACACAGACCCCCGAGCCCTCTGCTCATCAACTCAGAGATGAAGAATGGAAAAGTTCTTCTTAGTGAATAATCCTCCTTTCCTTCCTTCCAGCGGGGCTGGCCCCCCACAAGCATCCTCCGCATGGACCTTTGTCATCACCCCAGACTCCCACTCAGTGCCAGGGGAAATGGAAAGAGGAACTAAGACTAAGCTTTCTAGAAATATCAGAAGCCAACACCTCACCCCCTGCCTTGGTTTGTTTTGTAGGTCACTGCAAAGTACCCCCATCTAGCATGCCACGCCCTTCTCCCACTCTACCACTCAGGCCTTTGAGTGAGACAACCAGTAGGCTCTGCACCAGCCAGGTCCTTTCTAGAAACCTCCTCCAGGCCTCCTTCCAGGTTAGCTCTTAGTTCTAGGGAGACCAGAGCTTATTTTCCTGGGACCCCAAGTCTGTGAATTCTTTCCTTTCAAGGACTAGAAATCCATTCTTTATTCTTGGACAGAATGTCAGACAAGCACAGGACCTAAGAGATCATCTTCCTGTTTCATTGATGAGGAGACTGAGGCCAAGAAGGAGGCAGTGATAAGCCTGAGGGGACATAGAAAACTAATGGCAGGGTTTGTGTCCATTTCTGGGCTCTCCGCGTAGCATCCATGCCTGTATCCTGCACTGTCTGCTTAGCATCGCACTCATACAGTTAGCATCTCCTCTGTGCAGAGCTCCAGCAAGGGGACTGGGGTAAGGGGAAGGAGAAATGAACCAGACATGAAGCTTGCTTTCCAGAAGCATCATGGGAAGTGGGGCTGGGTTGATAAAAAAAAAAAACCCTGAGCTTGTTAACCCCAAGCTTCCAGCATGAAAGCATTTTCTTTGTTCTGGGATGGATCTGCCCTAGGTCTATCTGCATGAAGGAGCCAAGGATATTACTGGAGGGGGTGCATGGTAGAGGTAGGGGTTGGGGGGAGGGTGTAGATAACTTTTGCAAGAGCAAGAAAGATTCACCTGAAATGGCCTGGGTTGGATGGAGAGAGGGAGTGGCGTCCCAGCTTGTCACTCAGACTGCCTTCTGGGCCAGCCCTCATGGACCAGCCCCTGACCCTACAGTGAGGTGCTGTCATGGGCAAGGGGATGAGCAAAAGTAAACTCTTAGGATAATTGTAGTGTGAAACACTCAGGATCCTTTGATAGACTATAAACAAGGATAGCAGAGCAGGGGAGAAATCACTTTTGTTACTTAGAGATCACACTGCACAAGGTGGCCTGAGCAGTGTCCGTGGGACTGGTGAACACACTGGAGGTGCCCTTTGTAAAGATGCTGAACTGGGGGCTGAATCTTGGGGAAAGAGAGCTCATGAAAAGAAGGTGGGGGGAAAACAGAAACATTTTACCCCCTTTTCTGCTTTTAAGGGGAAAAAATCCTTGCTTTTAGGGGAAATTCAGGAGACAAACAACAATTGCACTCACTGGATAGACGTGGAGCTGTGAGTCACAACCAAGGGCTCAGGAAAGGCTGGGTGGTGATGCATTTAATATGGGGATGGGAGTTGCAGGTTCTGGAAACTTGAGTGAGTGTTCAATGGAGAAGGGGCACATTTTGTAGCAAACTTACAGATGCTGCAAATGTAAAGTCCTTGCACATCTCCATGGGATATTGTTAAAGTGCAGATTCTGATCTCTGGTTTTGGGGGGCCTGAGATCCTGCATTTCCAACCAGCTCCCAGGTGATGTTGATGATACTGGTCCATGATCCCACTAGAACAACCTTAAAAAGGGCTGACCATGGGAAATGTTCGGCAGGTGGGGGGAGAAGTGAACGGTTCATTTTGTCCAGTCCAGGATTCTTATCCATGGCTCTGGACTAAGCTTCAAGGACCATCTGGAATTGTCTTCCATATTTATGTAACTGTATTTTTCTGGAGAATGAGAATATCGTTTCCATTAGATTAGCAAAGGCATCCATGACCTCCAAATAGTTAAGTACCAATGAAACTATCAAAAATGAAGAGTTCTGGTCTTCACTCCAAACCCAAATCACAATCTGTAGTTTTATTATGTAAAGCTACATTTTTTCCTAAACTGTCCTCCCCTGACCCTCAGGTGATGGCCAGCCTGTGTTTGGGTACCCCTGGGCTAAACCGTAGGGTACATGAATTAGAGGCGGTGCTGGATGGGCCAGGTAACAGAAAAAACGCATAGGTAGAAAAAAAAAGAAAGAAACCAGAGGAGAGAAGGGGGAAGAAGAAGCGGCTGCCTGGACTCAGGAAAGAGCTCCAGACAGTGTCTGAACCTCAGGGCCAGAGGTCTGGCTCTGCCTCTGTCTGGCTGTGTGGCCTTGCACAAGTCACTTGACCTCTCTGGGTCTCTTCTGTAAAGTCTGATTAGTAAGACAGCTGTTTCTAATATTGTCATGAGACTTGTATGAAATAAGAATCCAAGGATGCTTTGTAAGCACCGTGTAAAGAGCTGTGTCACACAAAGGACCCGAGCAAGCTCCAGGCAGCTTTCGGGCACCCATGCCAATCCCAGGCAGCAGATATTCGTGCCTCAGCTTTCATTTCTTCCTGTGAAAGTTTATGAGGCATCTGTAGTATAATGCACTGAGGTTTAGACTTCCTAATCTCCTCCTAGTCCCCAATCTCTTGTCTGCCTATGGACAGAGAGAGAGCCTCTGGGGGCTGACCAAAAACTGTATTAGGCAGAAACAGCCCCAGAATCAAGTTAGGGCCTCGGCTCCTCACACAGTCAGCTCTCACTGGAAGCTCACTTTGTGACAGGCCCCTGT